GGAAAGGAGAGGACAGACAGAGAAGCAGGTTTATAAACGCGGGATCTTGGTAGTAGTTTTTGGCTAAGCAAGGTGAAAAAGAGAAGACTTTATGATCCACACTCCACACTATTTAAATTCCATCCATGCACATGTGGACTATCTTGGGTTGCCTTGAGAGAGAGAGAGAGAGAGAGAAATAGAGCACTATTCTGGAGTACAAATCAAAAAATAAACTTGCGAAATCATCCATGTTACCTACAAATGTAGTGTCGGGCTGGTTGGAGCGACAAAAGCCCATACACGATTTAACATCGGCCCTGCTTAAGGACCAATAGCTTGTCATTGTGACACCTTTGTAAATGGTCTCATAGTATATAATTCCATAAAATATATATAGTTCATTTTGAAAGGCACGGTGGAGATGCAAAAGTTGGAAATTCAACCTCCATTCCATTTACACTGTCGCCAAATACCGGGGGTATTGTCGATGGTAGGATTTGGCATTGAAATAGGTGAACACGCCTGCATGGGTGGCAATGGGCGGGCAGCTAAGCCAATAGACTACTAATTTTGGCTTTAGGGTTGAGCTTAGGCCTCAAAATCTGGGCCTAAATTTCGTAAAAAAATTCATCAATCGAATTTAATTTTTAATTTGTAAATTTTGGAGCCTTAATTGGGCCACCTAGCCCAATGGCAGGGCTGGCCGTTTTAGTGGCCTAACCAAGCCTGGACTTTCAGGGTCTTGAGCTAAGCTTCGACGGGTCGATTGTCCTAGGTAGCTATTTTGTCCAACAAAGGTAGGTTATGATCCTATTTAGAGAGGGGAAATGGTTTGATATAAAACCTCACTTCACCTCATAACTCATGGAAAATTACAATTAAAACATTAGAAAAAATTCACATCAATCATCTGGGCTTGAACATTATGGTCGTGAAAAATAATTAAGATTTAAAGCTCTAAAAATAATATATATTGTAACAAATTATGTAAACCATCTGTTTACCTTTAAAATTAGTTTTCAAAATTCCGCAAGATCTGTGCTATTTTTTGAGTAACAAATTTATGTGCGGTAGCAGTGGGACAACACTTTTATCGCTCGCTCAGCCCTATCCCACCCCACCCCACGCAAACGTATAAAAGTGATGCTTTCCCGCGGGAGTAATGCCATGGCAATTCATTGTAGAATAAATAGATGCATCCCCTCTCTCTGAAACAAATTTTATAAATTTAGCCACTTTTTTTTAAAAAAAAAAAAGAAAAAGAAATTGAGAAATATGCCTGGAAAGCGTCACCACCGACAAGGGCATAATAGTCATATATTAAAAAACTGGAGCCCGTCTCCAAGATTACCCAAATGCCCTCGCCGCCGGCTTTGCCCTACCTACCAATCACGCGTAGAACGACGTTCTAACTTCTAAACAGAACAGAAACGTGCTACAAGAATATTATGAGGTAAGGGGGGGGTTAATATAGTCCTTTAAAAATATGAGGATCTTTTAGTCTGGTTCGGTTCCCCCAACTACGGAACACCAAAGGGCCCTCTCGGACCCACGGCCTTTAGATCGAGAGATCCTCGCATTTAATGCCTTCACCCTTTTCCTCCGAAGCCCACAACCACCTCTTGGTTTTTTGCTCATTAATTGATTTGCTCAGTGTTCTAAAACTCTAGTTGGTTGGGTCAACCATCAATTTTGAAATCCAGTCTGAATCTACGATTCAGATTGCCTTTTTCGTGAGAGTCGATTAATTAAAAAAATTGAATAAACTTAAAAAGATAAAAATAATGAAAAATATAAATTGTAGGAATTGGACAATATGTAACGGTTTTCTAATAGAATTGACCAGTTCTATAGAAACTGATCCAATTTTTAGTACCAACAAAAAATTGAATCGATTTCTACCTGATCCCGAACTAGATCAAGAGATTATGGGTCACCATTTTTACTAACTTTGGATTTGAACCCTGTATTTGAAAAATGACATTGTGTTTAGTGCAATAATCTACTATTTTCTCGCATCGCGAACTGCTTAGGACCCAAAGTTTGGACAAACTCCAGTTTTAAAGGCACAGGCAATCAATGCTATGTTTTACTTTTATGTAAATGTTTTTTCTTCGTGTTCTAAGATATGCAAATTATTAGACTTTTATATGGCATAATTAGAAAAGTTGTCCAAGGTTACAGTTGTAATATCGTTGGAGTTTCTAGACATTTTGGAGAAACTAGGATCAAGGCTCAAGCGACGACAATAGAGCCGAGAGATTGACCCCCTCCGACCCCAGCAAGGGCAGAATTGCAAAAATTGGACAGAGTTATGGGTATTTTCATCATGGATATTTTTTTGGTACGATTCATTTTCTTTTCGCTTCCGTGAAGCTGCAACCGAAGCGGTAAAAATTGACCTTTTTCTTTTTAAAATTATGAATTGTATAAGTAAAAGTATTTCAATTCGAGCATGTATACTATGCTCTTGCTCGAGAATATTATACAACTACTACCTTGCTAAGAAGAAGTTAGTTGTTTTTGTAAGATGAAAAATTGGGAATCATTTAAGAATATTATTTTCAAAAGAAAATATTTAAATTTTGAGCTTTGTAACACTTAGATCTCACAATCATGAGATATTATTCATTTAAGTGTATATAAAGTCCAATGGGGTGCGGTTTGTACAAGGTTGAAGCCCTAAACAATCCGGCACTTTTAAATAGTGCTGAAATATATTGTTTCAGTACCAGAAATCTTACGATAGCTTGAAATTTTTTTTTATTTCTAATTATAAAATTTAAAAATTATAAAATAGTGTAGATCAAGTAAATGCATGAACACTCGAAAATTAACGCTTAGATAATACATTATAAGATGCATTATTTTTAAGATTAGTAAAGTTTTGAAGTGAGCCTTAATTTTATTGTTTAGGGCCTTACGCTTGTATAAACTTTTTTTTTTTATTTTTTATTATATCTCAAAAATTTTCTGTAATAGAATTGCTTCTAAATTGGGTTTTGATAAAGAAAGTAAATGTACAATATACTCTCAACGGGAGCATAAATTTTTTGCCTTTAAATAGAAAAGATCAGAAAATTTATTATCACTGTTTACTTCCATTTATGTAACACTGGATTCTTCCTTATCCTTTGCATTCGGCTTCTCCTTCACCTGCGTGTCCATTTTAGCCCTTCTCTCTTTCTCTCTCATCGCCTATTTTCTCTCTCTAGAAAGGTCCCCGTATTTCTACACACGCAGATAACACCCCCCGGGCCGGCACTTCACCCAATTCTCTCTCTTCATTTCCAACGCCATTGCCTCTCTCTCTCTCTCTCTCTCTCTTACTATTATAACATCGGTCCGGGGTTTACAAGGTCTTTAGT